GGCAATGTAGGAGCAGGTTTCAGATGTTAACAATTCAGTTGAGAGCTCATGAAGCTCAAGGTCATTTTATCCATTCTGAAAGTTCAATTGACTGTTTTGCTAATATTACATACCAATGCAACTTTGCATTCTTAGTATGCCTACTGCCAACTTTTACCTGCGCAATGGATAATAATTACTCAGCTAATTAACAAGCCTATCTTGTGGTGAAATAGAGGAAGAAACAGAAAAATATGCTGAAGAATATTTTATTGAGTTAACTGAAAGGTGGAACTACTCCAATGAATTACCATTAGCCAGTAATCAACTTCTAGTGTGTGAGGAGGTGAAAGGACTACAGGATTGCTGTCATTATATTGTTGATAGTAGCTTACATTATATGTGGTGTCTGGCACTATGTGAAGTGCTATAATCTCAAAGCCACAAGAAAACTGTAGCAATTATCATGTCTAGATCATTTATGCTATTGTTGAATAAATATGGTCAGAAAACTCAAGTGCCATGCTTAGTGTAAGAAAGACTGTCAGTTTGCCAGTTTCTACCCTTCCTCCCTAAAGGGTCTTGTTCTCTTACTTAATATTTCATAAAATTATTGAGGCACCTCTGTGTACACTGCTCCTTGAGAAATTTGAGTTTTATCCTGTATCATTAAGTTTTATCCTGTATCTTTGGAGGGTTGGGGATCATTACTTATGTACTATGGTGTACATATGGAGATTTCAGAACACTTTGTAGATTTTATTCTTTCCTACCTTCATAAGGGCTCTGGGGATTGAAATCAGGTCATCAGGCTTATGCTTCAACCACCTTTACTCAGTGAGTCATCCATCTTAACAGCCCATAGCCTATTTTCTTTCTGCAGCTATGCCATCCCATGGCCAAATATTAACTATTCTTCTAATTGAAAGTACTAATCAGAAGCTATGGGACTAGTAGTTAAAGGTAAGGAAAAACTACTATTTCTAAGCCCACTTGAGGAAAAGGGGAAGAGCAGTACTTGTATTTCTTCTAAAATGAAGAAGGAAAAGGAAACCCACAATTTCAAGTGAAGCTGATATTGGCAAGAAGAGGGATAGGGTGGGAAGATAGGTGTCTAATTAGAAGAAGGAAGGGAAAAGAGTTACAAGGTAGAATAGAGTGAAACTCAGTCTTCATTTCTATGTGCACAGACCTCAGCAGACAGCTGGAAACCTGCCAGAGAAGGAGGCCTTGGAAACAAGTTGGAAGACATTGGAGAGACTTTAACCAAAACAAACAACAGCAGGGGATGTGGTTGGCAGTACCAAAAAAGCAAGGGACTCTGTGAGTCACTCTCACATTAACTTTGAATGGTATCATATTTCCATTTTGTTGTATAGGTTAGTTGTTTAACAGCTGCTATTGTCTAATATATAATAGATGTATACATCTATGTAAAATATAGACATATTTTATCTCAATGATGTAACATTATAGACAGAAACTACAATCTTTAAAAAACATGAACTAGAAAAACTATCCAATATCTTACTAATCTAATAGTTTTATTCAATATTTTTCAGCTGCATATTTAAGCACATGTATAATTAAGATGTAAGTGTAATAATTGATATGTTATTTAGCACACTAAGTATACATATGTTATTTTACTAAATATTGCTTTACAAAACAGTGTAATACCAAGTATAAGGTAAGTCCTTATTGTTTACTGTATTACTGAGTTTTTCTTTGTGGAAATGATAGCAACAGTAACGAAAGTAATAGTAATTTTAACAGAAATTGACCATATGTTAGACATTCTATAAATACTGTTTCTAAGTTTCATCCACGTTTGCAAGGTAAATAGGATGAACTCTGTCTTATAACCAAAAAGAAATGTGTAATCAGAGGTTAAATGGCTGATTCCCTGCCATAGCTCTAAGCACTGAATTAGATCTTCCTGGTTCAAAGGACTATGCCCTCACCAAAATATGCCAACTTTTCGCTGCAGGGAGTGTCTTTATTCTTCTAATTTGGAGTGTTTTATTATAAACTTCTAAAAGTAGAATTATTAGTGCAAAGAGGATTATCCCTTTAAAACTGATGACAACTTATTCCATGTTGTTTTCTACAAGGGTAATATTAATGTATCTTTTTACAGAAAGAAATTAGAGATATAATAAAAAGGGGTAAAGTTACAAGTGAGTGACAGAAAAATATCTTTATGTTGTAAATACAACTTTAAGCATAACTATCTCAAAACTGGGCTATGCTTAGAAAATCTGAGAGTGGAAAGCACTTTTAGCTCTGGATCTAAATAGGTTCACATAAAATTCTTAGAAGCTGATGTGTCCTACCATACAGTGATTGACTGTATTATAAGCATTTATTTAAAAGATATTTACATAGACTTATCACTTTGCGTGAGGATATGAGATCCAGAAAGAGAGCCACTCTTAGCCTAACAGCAAGAAAAAAATCAATCTACAAAAATCACATTTTTTGAATCTAGAGAGGAGTTCAATGCCATCAACAAGCCTTAAGTCTGAAGAAACAGTATGTAATTACAGACACACAGGCATCTCCATGGGGATTTATGGCACAGCCAAAATGAAGGAAGATACAACACTACTAGGACAGGGCAAGCAAAAGAGAGAGGACATCCTGGAAACATACACACACACACACACACACACACACACACACACACACACCAGAAACTTTGGAAACCAGATGGAAATGGAGGAACAAGTTTATATTGCTAAGAGAATATGTCAATACAGCCTCTATGCCTGTAAATATTTTCCAGAAGTAAAGAAATCATGCCTTTCGTTAGTAGAAGCCTCAAACTATAAGAAACATTAAAGTCTTCAGTCTTAAGCTCTTCATGCCAGGTATAAAATTGGGTTTTCACAAATAAATGAAAATTCTAGAAATGGCTAAACTAAACTTTAATATAAAAGGCATTACTTTTATTTTGTCTAAAGAAGTAAACCACCTACCCCCCAAAAAACAGTAAGTATAGAGTCAGTATATTCAGTATAAATAAGACTTATAGCACAATTGAAGGTTTATATTACATGTAAAAACAAAATTTATAATAATCATAATCATTGCATGTCATTTGGTATACCATACAACTAAGTGTAAGTGCACTGCTTGACTTGCATTAACATAAAATCTATATTTAAGTCTTCATTTGTGGTGATAGCTAAATGATTATAAATACTGGTTTAAACTCATGATTATAAATATTTGCTTAAACTCATGAGTAAATTTAATTAATTATATACTAGACCCATAGTTTTAAAAAATAAATTTTCATGCATAACATACCTTTTTTGCTTTTTGACTGTTCTTCTGGTGAGGACATCAGAGCTCTGATGAATGTTCAATTCTTACCTTATTTCCAACATTTGGTGATGGAGAAGGCGGTATGCTTCTTAGAAGAATTACAAATGCATATATACATATACACCCGTCTCAGGAATTGAAATATTTATAGAATATACAAATTCTAAATGTGTCTGTCATTAAAAGGTATTTTGCTACCCATGTATAATGTATTTTATCATTGCATTAGGAGGCAAGACTGAGCAATATGAAATTAAACATGTCATAGCCAATGTACTTGGCTCTATTTCATTATTACTGTCTGTAAATAATCAGTTCTGTTTATGTGGAAGATCAAAACTATTTGAAGAACAGGAAACCTTTGTCCTTTTTGTTGTCACTCTCTCTGTTCCCTATACTCGTTAAGCTTCTTTCTATACTTAGGGCTTGCCTACATTGCTCTTGCTACTATGTGGAATGTGCTTTGTTAAAAAATTTTACAAAGTATCTCTCTCTCCAATGTGGACAGATAAATTAGACAAGAAGCCTCACTGGGAAGATGCTGCTCCAGACATGTCCTATAGAGGGCATCCTTGTCTGAATGGGTAAGATGTTTCCTTTAGGTCTAGATCAGGGCATTAATACAAGATCCATATAAATATGACCTGTGGTCAACTGGGCAGTAAATTTAGACTAGGTACAGTAACATTGGTTTCAAGGGAAAGTCCTTGTAAAAAGAAGTGCTTCCTTGTATAAAACCTTGTATATTAAAACATTATAAGATAGATAACATAGAAGTTTACCATATTTTAGAGTACAAGAAACAGGCTTGACTAAGGTAACAAGGTTACTTGCAACCCCTTAATACTGTCCTTACCTCCTGGAATGTCTGAATATCCACCTCAACGACATCTTATTTTTATCCTCCTGATATCAATTTTTAATTTTTCTGGAAGTATGTCAACATTTGAACCTCCAATCTAAATGAATTTCCCTGTTTTGTACATCTAGATTGCTATGAGTTTCTAACAGTTAATACTTGACAATTAGAATTGTATAGCTATGTGTTTATTTGCATACCATATGTGGGTGTTTTAAACAATGATTTATACATATGCACACTTAATGATATGTTTCAATAGTATAAGCCCCCAAGAAGAGTAGAAACAACATTTGTTCCATTCATTAGTTCATCCCAGGGGATTGTCACAGCTCCTAGGGCATACTTAGTTTGTAATATACAATTATTAAATAAGTGTAGTGTTTCTTGAGAAATTCTTTAGCAAACTTATCTATACATTTGCAAACTCGCGTGCACTAATAGTCAAATAATGAAGTTTGTCTATGAATAATAAAACATTCAATTTAAAGTTGAATGCAGATGACTAAAATCCACTGATATATATTATAAAACAAGTGATATTATTATTTTCGTACATTCTATTTGATTTTCCTCTTTTAATCAATGAGTTTCATTTTTGCTATTAATGTTGCATTTATGCTCATTGGTTCAACATAGCTTTTCCAATCCATTTTTGCATTAAAATATTAAAATTTAAAATCTCAATGATGTATTTTAATTTGATTCACCTCTCAGATTTATGTACTATATTTTAGCAATATTTTATTTACACTGTTGGGATTTTTGACTCACAATTATAGTTGTTATTAGAAAATTTAACATGAATTAATAACCTAGTTTCACTTACCAAATAGATTCTCCCATAAGTACCAAGACCAATGGTTTTATCTAGTGAGAATATCCCAGTTGGATCCTACAAAAAGTAGAACAAAAATCATAAGTTTTCTTGAAAAAATTCCAATCCTCATTGTTCTTTTAGAATTCACAAAATAAAAGGCACCCCCTGAAACATGTTGTTTGATGAACCCATTTCCCAAAAGAATAGGTTTCAATGTCCTTAGATTTAGTATATTAATTTGTTTAAAAAAACACTAAGAAAATATGCAATCATAATTAAGCTGTATACAGGTAAGTGTAGTGATATACTATTTATGATATATTAAAGCTTTCCTGAAAGTAAATTCTTACCTCTAAAAGGGCTGGGGCTTTCCTATTCTCAACATGCCTGGAGAATGAATGTCTGACATTGAGACCTTGCTCCTGGCTTATATACCTCCCTAATGCTATTAAAGGTGCTGAGATCATCTTTGTGTGAGCTGTTTCTCTTTAGGACTGGATTAATCTTGTGTAGATATGGGTGGCCTTGGACTCAACGAAGATCCATCTACCTCTTAATCCTGAGTCCTAGGATTAAAGATGTGTACCAACACCTCCTACCTATTGGCTGCTAGGATTAAAGGTGTGTGCCTGGCTTCTATAGTTTGTAGTTGACCTTGGTTTCTGAATCCTCAGGCAAGCTTTAATAAATTATAAATAATATCACCATAGGTAAGTAATTCTGAGTAAACTACAAAGATATAAGTAAGACAGAAATAAGTTCAGACATTTGCTAAAGAAGTATTCACTTATTATCCCTTTCTGAGTTCTAACAAGATCGATTAAACGTTTAACATTCATGAAGGAGGGGTAGATATTGGACAAAGTCTAATTAACTAATTTATAGCACAGAAACACTTAGAACTACTGTTTATATATATGGACAATAAAGCACAAATCATGGCATTAGGAGTGTCTGTCTAAAACCCGGAGATAATGTTGGTTTTGCTTCTTACATTCACAATTATATCAACTGTCTTTTCATGGCACAAACTGATCAATATTCTTTTGACTCTCCATACCAAATAAAATATATTTATGGATACAGTGCTAAATCTTTCCTACTCATCATCGAGGATTATGCTCTTACCTTGTAATGTGAGTATTATCTTCCTGTTCACCAAAAATATGATTCCATAAAGTTTGATTTTTAATCAACACCAGAGATTTAAAAAAAATGTATGAACCATGAGTAGATGTCAATTTATACAAATAACGGTAAAGGCACTGGCAAATACTTAGAAATCCAGAAAGTGTACAGAACACAAATATTTAATGATGTTATAAAATAATTTTATCCCTGTGAAAAAATGCAAGATAAAAAAGAGTAAACAGCTACTTAGTGTAAAGAACATACATGAAGAAAGTCATAGATTTCTTAAGATTTGTGTGATGTTTATGTGATCTAGCAAAACTGTCATAGTTAAATGACAACTCTGGATTAATCTTAGTCAACAAGTATACAAATGGATGGACAGTCAGGAGAAGTGAGTTTTGGCTCCAGAGTTGTTAATAACTAACTATACAACTCTGGGTGACATTTATTCTGTTGGGTTCCATTATCACATGTGGAAAATGAAGGCATTGTGTTCAGTGATTTCTGAGTTCTAATATTTTGCAGGACAAATTATCTGGTACTTTCATCCAAAAATCCAGATGTTTCCACAGAATTGACAAAAGCATTAAGGCAGCAATCCAGAGTTCTCTTTTCTTAAAATACTCATTAAAATGAAGAATAACACAATAAAGTCATGATTATAAGAAAGTAGATCAAGGCATATCTTCCAGCTGAAAATAAAAATATCTTTAAATGACAGCTTTTAGTACTTGAGAAGCAAAGTATATTTAATATCTTGTACAGAATTTTTGCTATGACTCTCTGGAAGACTTATGGGAAAAGGTAAGCAACAAAAGAGTAGCATGTTTCTTCCAAACATATCATTGAAAAGTTTATTTACACCGTTAACAATTCTAGAAACAACAACTGCTCACTTTATAAAAATGCATTATTTATTTATTTATTTATTTATTTATTTATTCTGTGATGTGTGGGGGCACATTATGCATGCCATGCTGCACATATGGAGGTCAGAGGACAGCTTCTTGGAGTCCGTGCTTTCAGCTTTCAGATTCAGGGGATGGAACTCCAGTCTTCAGACTTGGCCACAAGCACCTTTACCTGCTGAGCCAATCTTGCTGGCCCAGGTTACTTTTTAAAACAAACAAGCTATCTAAATCCTATTGGTAAGCTATTACTTTTATATGCACAGTTGTGTTCATTGTGATAAGATACCAGGTTTGGGAACTCTCACATTGTCTGTTGATATGTTTTTGGAATCTCTGAATCTTCAGAAATGTGGTTTTAAGTCTGTTTCTAATTACTCAAAAGAAAAAGTGAGGAAGTGTACTGTGAAAATCACAGAAATCTTGTTTTGGCTTTGTTAATGTTGTCAGAAATCTTTGTTTTCTAGTCACAAGGAATGAAATCATCTTACTTACCCTAATGTTCAATTTAAATAAAACAATACATTTTTAAATTTCAAGTTTTAAAAGCATATCAAACTTAGTATTCCTATATTCTAAGGCTATTCCTTCCATTCATTCCGTGTGCTCTTGTTAATCCTTATCTCACCTCTAATCTGTTCTACAACTAAATGATTTACTAAATTCATATAAAAAGAGGAAGAACTGTGCTGATTTTTAAACTAATGTACAATATTTATATCCCATTTTCCATTTTTAGTCAGTCCATATGTATTCTGGACAATAAAATAAGATACCCAAATTCCTAGATCTTCCCTCAAAAAGTGAGATGGAAAAAAAAAAGTCAACTTATTTCTGAGCCAGAAACTTTTAGGCAATTTTTAAAACTATTTTTCACATATTTCTATATATCCAAAATTATCTCCAGTAAATTAAAATCCCTAATGCAGCTGTCCTTGAAAACTGGAATTTGAGAGTTGTTTCTTCTGAAGGAAGGTAGGAGAAGGAAAGACTGAGCATCCCAGTGGTTAATTTTCGTAAGGGTGTGGAAGAATGAAGCAAATGAACCACTAGAAGGCAGTGTTTCCTGGTCAAGGAAGACACATTTCCTAGCCTGATCAATAAAACTAAATGCGCCTATACACCAGAGGAAAGAAAAGCAATACTTGGTCAACACAGTAGCAAGAAGTTTCAAATGTACTTCCATTCACTTAAAGATTAGGGAACATGTTCCACTGGTTACATAACAAAGGGGGTGAGAATAAACACTGAGTATAGAGAGTGTTTTTCTTCCATTATTTTTAATGTTACAAATAGTAATTTGATGAAAAGACCTTTTAGGTAGAGTTCCTAAAACGTTGGTTCTAATGAGATAAACAGTAGAGTGAAACTCAGAGACAGTGACAAGGATGAGCTTCCCAATAGAATCAGAGCTTACGAAGGAAAAATCTGTATAGATCTCTACTTCATAGTCCATGGGTTGAATATATATTCCCTTCATGAGACTCATATAGAAATCCTGTTTAAAACGAAAGAATTCTTATTATGAAATCACAATTCCCTTGGACAATTCTTTTAAGACACCCAGAGGACTCTCAACACACGTACCCTGCCTCTGTGCACTAAACTATGGAAAAACGCTGTTCTGGAGACAGGGAACGTGCCTCAGAAAATAGATTGAATTGCAATGTCAAGCTGAGGCAGTATTCTACATGTAATGGATGATATGCTGGATATTTCAAACCTTGTGCGCTTGAAGGCAAAATTGCTTTCACAGAGCAGCTAAGGGGCTTGGTAAAGTGGGAAGCTTCTCTTGACTGAATGCGGAACTCAGGTTTTGCCTGAGTAGTGAAGACTGGGAAAACTGGAAGTTATATTTAACAGTTAACCTAGTGTATTTCAAATATAGTGTTTAGATCATGTACTATTTCAGATCACCTCTGCCACTACTGTCCTCAAAGCCTGTTGTCCTATATATAAATATATATATATATATAATAAATTATAAATTAACAAAAATGTTATATGCAATTATAACACAATACAATTCTCTGCAAAGAAAGGAAGCATAAACTACAAATCTCTCTACTTTTCTTCTCCTATAGGAAGTAGGAAGCATAAACTACAAATCTCTCTACTTTTCTTCTCCTATAGGAAGTATATATTCAATTAAAAATTGGGAAAAGTTAGAGAAGGACATTGACAAGTGTGTTTCTGTGGTGATCTATTTTTACTACCAGCACTTAGAAAATAAAGGCAGAAGAACCAAGAGCTCAAGACCAGTGTCAGCTATATAAATAACTGGAAGCCTGCCAGAGCCACATGAAACTCTGTCTTAAAAACAAGAGTAAATATGATTGAATTGACCTATTCACTGATAATTGTAATGGCTTTCTTATCTATGTTGCTAAGGCCCTATACAAGAGGCTTTATAATTGCATCAAAATAGCATTTACAATTGTGAAATTTATGTAATTTCTCTCTGCTAATTTCACTACTGCTTAATGTTTTAGGCGTAAATATTATCTAATTAAAAATATCACATATATTTATAGCACTTGTCCTTTTGGAAGTTCAGGCTATTCTGGAACTCACTATGCAGCCAGCACTAGCCCCAAAATCATGGTCCTTCTACTTCCATGACTCAAGTTTCCATCTGTTTCTTTAAATCCCAATTTATACTCTTGTACAAGCACATGCTACATTCATTTAATTGATCATAAAGAGTATGTAATGTATAAATCCCAAACATATATCTAATTATACTTCTATACTCTGAAAGATTTGTATATATGTTTGTGTGTGCTACGTAATATGGGAATTGAACCCAAGACCTGTGCATGCTAGGCATGTATTCTAAAGCTCAGTCAGTCCATACCCAGGCCTCCAAGATTCTTTTTGATCAAGTTGACATTTGAAGGTTATAATCTCCCCTCATTATCTAGTTGTTTCTAAACTGTTACACTTAGCAGGGACGTATGCCAATATTCTGTCCTTCACATGTGTCCTATTGAAAATAACTATTGCAAGGGACACTGCCCTATGCCGTTTTTGTTTGTTTGTTTTGCTTGATCACATCTCTCTGCATCAAAATGTAAATGTCTATCTAACTTAACTATCAATTCATCTATTCATTTACTTCAAAGTCTTCGAAATACAAGTTAAATGTAAAACAAAACAACAAAAAAACTATAGCTCACTGACTAAAGAAACAATGACTTTAAGTCTCCAAACATTTGATATAAAGAAAAAATTGAAGAGTATGCTGCTTGCAGCTATATTTCTTTTCTTGGAATTTGAATCTAAGGAGAGGGGAGAATTACCCATGATTTTCTCAGATAGTACAGAAAAATTACTCTAATACAAAATTCTGAAATATAAGAATTTTCCTAAATTGAACCTTCCATGATTTAAAATGAGGGAAAATATCATTTGTACCCTATGTTTATGTGTCTTTCCCATATTCCCTAAAATTACAAACCAACTTCATCTTTTTCTCCTGTATCTACTGCCATCCTCACCCAATCTTGAGAACAGTAATGCTTAGTGAACTATAATATAAAGATTTCAGCCTTTTTGCTTATCTCATGGACTCTCATCAGATCTGTATGTCCCAAAGCCATGACTAGGATAGTTAATGCAGGGAATTTATCTCCAATGTTTGTGGTAATAGCACCTTTACTTTTTTGTGGTTGTTGTTCTTTGGGTTTGGAGTTCCCTGTGCTATCATTTCTATAAGGTCTTTTCCATCCCCTAATGTGGTCATTTTTAGACAGCATTTTATTTCAGCTTTTCCATGTGTGCTTACACACACACACACACACACACACACACACACACACACACACACACACACACACACCAAGAATGATGAGCAGATGAGCAGCTCACTCACTGGCTTTACAGTCTTATTCAGGAACAAATCAATCATAATCTGAAAAAGAAAATTCTGCTCAAAAGGCAATCCACCAATTGAGTCCTCCATAATCCATAATATCATGTATACATCCTGGAAAAGAAATGGTTTCAGGTGCATGTGGGATGAAAAAATGGTTTAATTTTTTTTAATGTTTGGTCTTATTTTATGGAGTTGCAACAATAACATTTCTAATTGTTGCCATTCAACAGTTTTGACTTGAAGTATGTGCTCTTAATGATTGATTGATAACAGTTTGCTAAAATATTACCCACGTAGATCACTTCCCCTCTCCATATACCATACCACTAGCAAAATTATAAAAGGAGGCCTTGGGAGTGTCCCATTTTTAGGGAGGCAGGTATCTGCCATCATTAACAACCCATATATTTAAATGCCAAACATACACAAAATTAATTAAGGCAAGATGACTTTGAGTAGTCCTATAACCTCACAGTTAATATTTAGCTTTACTCAAGGCAAGGAGGCCAATGCCCTGAACTACACATGCTTGGCGATCATTCCAGCACAGCGCCTGCTTAGTTCTCCTTTGGAGAGTCCAGGGGCCCTTTGCATTCAAGAGAGGGTGCAAGAGAGACACCAATCTAAAAAGGGAACTTGAAAAATGGATTTGGGTGGGATCCAGTATCAGCCAGAAACCAGATGCCAATGAAATAAACGGTGTTATTACAGTAGTAAGTCTGCTGTTTATGATGCCTTTAATAGCTCACCAATCAATTTCAACTGGACATGGAGTAAAAGGAGACCCTGCACATAACCAGGAACAAAAAAATATATTTCGTTATCTAAGGGACATAATACATTGTTTCAAAAATTAAAAGGCATGTACAGAATTCAGTTCTTATCCAGGCGCCGTCGAGTTCTTCCCGCTCCAGCAATACTAAATCGAGAACATTTTCAGGATGAGAATAAA